AGTAAACTTAGTTGTGGGGTTGGGGGGCGGCGGTCGGAGGGGAGGAGGGCAAACACACCTAAGTTTGACGTAAATTTTCGTCTTCGGGAGTCGGGGGCTCCTCTACTGTTCACGTCGTAAAATTCACCGTGTTGGTTGACCCACCCCCTAGGTCCAGATAGTTAGATATTACTCTTAAAGTCTCACCCTTTCTTATTTAACTCTGTCAACATGAAAATACGGTAGGAGCTTACTCCTTTTCATAACTGGGTGCAACACAAGGACCAACCGCAACATAGACGTCAGTGTTATTCATTGTCCTGCCGCCGTTTATCGTGCGAGTAACCTCCCCCTTACTTTTTCCTTTCGTTAAATGAATCTGCACCTTTTTTACACTTTACTTTGGCAAGAAAAAGGAGAAGTTTGTAGTAATTCCACTTCACGTCAACATTAACGACAAATTCCTTTTATATAAGACATGTGGACGTTCGAAGTGTTTTCTCGGGTTAATAAAACTGGATGATCCCGACAAAACAAATATTGTTCTTTCTTTATTTTTCTCGTGATGAACGTTGCTAAGTTGCACACCTCCCTCCCTCGTCTACGAGGGCAGGCGGCTAGGGAGAGGATAAGAAAAATAAAATCGTGGTTCACCTAGACGTCGAATACAAACTCGTCGTTTGACTAGGGAGGTTCATTCCGGTTCTATTGCGTTTATTCAGGAGTCGAAAATACGACTCTCCTCGACCTTCTTTTTACTGGAAGACAGTATGAAAAGGAGCACTTCCTCTGATACGCCGATATTAGAACCGATGTGAGACCAAGGAGCTAACAGACGGTGACGACTGGTGACGTCCTCTGATTTCGGATATGGCTCTCTATACTGAGTTGAAGTGTGTGCGATTTAATCAAAACTCCTACGATGAGTTTAGGTGGCATGACATGGGCTCAGCTCGCACCCGAAATTTGGAGACCCAGGTTTCCACTAAGTAGGCATTTACACTTCGACTAGGTGTCAACATTAGCCGTCCATACTAAACGAGGTATAGAACGCAATAGTTTTATAAGCTCCTTCTCCACTAAACAATACCGTACAAATAAAAGAAGTTCGTTTTAAGGGGAGTGCCTGACCTTATTTGGCTGTTAGTCTAACCTAATGGGCTTTTCTTCAGTCGTTACATACCTTTAACCAGAAAAAAGACAAGTAGCAAGGTAAGAGTCGCGGTAATAGAAAGTTTCCCCTATAAAGTGAGAAAGAGGAGGAATGGCTCTAAAAGATGTTGTTTAGGAGGTATTATGCTTTTAAGTTTACTTGTCGACTGTTAGAAAATAAATTTACTCTCTTATTATTTAAAAATATTATATCTCCTGGGATTAATCTACAATTTGGGGTTGTCTTTTCCTGCTTTGAAGGCTGTAATACAGTAAAATCATATAATGTTCTGAACTTCACAGACTGTCCTATTATTTACCATTACCCAAATATTGATAATATCCATATTACTGATTTATGAAAATCTCATTCAGTAATTCTTTTTTGAAAGCGCCAATGATCAACTTTACAATATTGCACCCATATTGAAGTTATTATTGGTCAAACATATTGGGATGATTGAATTTCTCCGTATTGCCTAGCCCTAGCTGGAAAACAAGTGGAAATATCTGTGTCTGTTCCAAGGAAACTACACACAATAACTGTCCCACACATACACCATTTTTTAACTGTACAAACTAAAACATTTTGTTTTTACAAGATGTCTGCCAGATTTTTTCTTGGCTGGCGTGTATTTACTTCCTGAAGTCTCAACTGACTGTCTGGCAACTTCAGGATGAAGGCGAGACTCAAAAATAAAATAAAAATCACAGCTGTGCAGCCAATAAATGGTTTGGCACATAATGTGTTAGATAGCCCACACCTTCTTACTTATCAAAAGTCTGAGTAAAAACCTTCTATACACATAAATACATACTGAAAATGAAGTAGAATAACCTCTGGTTGTTGTATTTACTTCAAATGTGAGTCCATCATGTGAATAAGGTAATAATACAGTATGTGTATAGATGTGTGTAGATGTGCAGGCAGCCAGCAGCACTCTTCAGATCACAGGCTGCCTTCAAATGGAATATTTAAGGTTGTATTTCTTTGGAAATTCAAGTAAAAGACACACATGATTTTTAAAATGGTAAACAGTGAGAATACTGTCGCTAGGCAAGTGACACCCAAATTGAAAATGAGGAAAGATAGGGGATTTTTGGGGCAAATTCAATCACAAGCATAAAGGGACGGTTCACCCCAATATCAAAAATACATATCTTAGTAGTGCTATTTATTAAAGTTGATTATTATGGAGGACTGGGTGTTGGAGATATCAGTGTTGTCTGCTTCTCATTAATATATTGTATATAAATGTCTTCTTCCAGAAATCATGACCTGATTAGTAAAGATAATCCGTCAGACTGTGCCATTTCATGTAGGAACTATTTTCTTTCTACACCCGCCAACAGTATCACTGCACAGTTACGTTGCATCAGAAAATACTTTGCTGTTGAATATTCCAATACTATGTTTGAGTGATGGCAGACATCATTAAAGCCCATATTTCCAACAATTGGCAATTTACATCAGAGTTCTTCGAGGAACAATAAGTACATTTCCTTTGCTCCCAAAATAACAACCAAATATGTGAAATGAAAACTTGTACAAGTGTGATATGGTGCATCCATGCAGTGGATAAGTCAAACTTTCTGCTGCTTTCTGTTCCACTGACAGACCATTCAGATCACGGATACCAGAGTCAGGCGTCAGAGGTCACTGAGGGTCTTCTGCAGGGCCACACTGACTTTGGGGGGGTGAGTGGCCTTGAAATACACTCTGCACAGGGACCACTGTTAACACAACCCATTGGCACTGTTTGAGACCAGGAAGAAACTCCTCCATGCACAAATTCCTTTTTCAAAAATGATTGTTTTTGTGAAATGCTATGAGTTTTTTGTGAATTCATTATTGGTTTAAAAGCAAAATCAGTATTTATTTATTTTCTACAGTCGTAGAATTTGACCTACAGATTAAAATATTTTAAGAGGTTGTCAATGTTTGTTTCCCATTATTGACTAATATACTATTTCATAGACTTTTTTTTACTATAAGAGGAATAAATGGAGAATTGTTTGTAACTCTTTAAAACTGTTTGAAAATGCGTAATCATAATTAATAATATATATTATAACCAATCACACAGTTATAAATTGATGTTATAGTTATAGAACATGCAACCCCACACCCCCAGTGTGCAAGTATATGCTCGGAATGATTTACATTTGAAACAATATTGTCGACATTTATTTATTTGTTTGTTCACTGCAGCTATAGACTTTCATCTTTAGATTTAAGAATTTTAAGAGTTAAGTAAATTTGCTGTTTTTGTCAAAATCAAAAAAATATGTTTTTTTCACATGTGCTACAATGTAAACGAATGCCTCTGTTTCCATTTACTTCTCACCTGTAGGCTAACATCATTTTCACTCCTTTTTATGGTTCACCCTTGTGTCACATTCCCTCTCACCCACCTGGGAGCCGCCCTGTACAGTTTCCCTGTACAGTAATAATCTCTCCACCAGACTCTGAGCTGCAGCGCTAGTAGCGATTTGGGATTAAGTGCTTTGCTCCAGGACAAATGGTAGCTTTTGAGGCAATTGAGAGCATAAGTTATTCACTTTCCACCCTTCAGTCCCCAAAATCACTTCCCAAAACGTCTTACTCAGCCTCCATTCATTCCCTCTCCGAGAGGATTTGGTGGATTCTTGGATTAAACGTTGACATGGCACTACGAGGGAAATGCTCAAAAATCCCCATCTTCATATCAAGAACTGAATTTAAGTAACATTTTGAGGAAGGTGTACTTATGTATCTGACTGCTTCACTTATTTACAAATCGAGATTATTAGCTAATAGAAAAATGTAATTCAACTAAAAAATAAACATTGAACTTGATTATAGGTCAAGATATCCAACAGATGTCTATAACGTCATTAAAATAAGCTCCACTTTTACTAGCTGAGATGAACGCTTTAATGCATCGATAATCATAATCCAGCAGTCCAATATATATCAGAATCAGAATAATTTATTCCAGGGGAAATTGGGTTTTGTGAAGAGTTGTTCCATCTAAGAATGAAAAGGAGATACAAAATATGTACATAGAATAAAATAAATATATAAACATAAGGAGTTAAAGTAATATGGGCCGTTAAATGGGCCATGCCGCATGATTAGTACTTTTACTTAGTATATTGCTGCAAATGCTTTTGTACTTTT